GTGTATCCCTGCCCTGCTACCCCCGCCATTAGACCTGCCTTGGTGCGCCGTCTATTGCACAACTATCCCTTCTCATTTTCGATTGTTTGCTCCGGGTCCCCTGGTCGGCTCTCGCGACATAACAAACCCCGCGAACCCCCTTACCCCCGTTCCCCTCCCTCAAAAAAAAACTGATCCTCAAACCCAACTCTTCTTTCACCTCCCCCAGGCCCCCAACAAACTTTAAGATTTTTTTTCCCTTGCTGGGAAAGAGAAGAGCACATGTTGGAAAAGTAGAATTTTGTGATAAAAAAAAAAATAACAACCCCAGGTGGTTTTTAGTCAAAAGGGGATGAAACTGGCGCAGTTTTAAGAAAAAAGATGGGGGGGGGGGGGGGCTAGGGATGGAGGGAGGGGTGGGGAGGGAGTATGATAGTGGCCTCCGTGGATTTGTAAGCTGCTAAAATACTACCGTGCTGAAGTCTTTTGAAAAACATTTGAAGTAACGCGTGAGAGGTCAAATGTATGCTTTATTTAGGTAAAATCTAATCTCATATACCCCATCCAATATAAGAAAACCCCGAACACCAACAAAACCAAAAACATAAAATAAAACAAGAAAGAAAACCCCAGACAAAACAAACAGGCACACGAACAAGCAAACAGAAAAAACAAACAACAAACAAACAAACAAGCAAAGACAAAACTAGCAAAAGGAAAACTGCAACTAACTCTAACTCTTTACGTGCCAGAGGGTTTGCTACCTTCATGCCAAGTCGGCGCTTTGCGTGTTGAATGTGGTGTCTGTAGAGGATAGAAACTGGACTCGTTTTATCCCCAAACCAAAACTAACGTTTGCTCTGTTCTGAAATTATGTTTAGCGAAAGTTGTCGTTAGTAGTGAGCTTAGAAAAATGTTTCCAAGCTCGAAAAAGATATGGTGCAAATGACAGAATGCTGCACAGACGATGCATCTTGGATTAGTACAAACGAGGCTCTGGATATAAAACCAGTATTGTGAAGGAATAAAAAGGTATAACCGGAATAGGGGGCTCTCGTTGTCTTGAGATTACGGTGTTCGCCTCTCGTACAACAGGTCCCGGGTTCGAAAACTGACCGCGATGGAACATTTTTTTCTACTGAAATATGTTGTCCTTTCACCTACTTTCCAGTTCTCTAACCATGTACTGTCGTCTGTTTTCGTCTCCAATATCTGCCCCCCCCCCCCAACCCCCTCCCTTTGCCCCCTCCTCTGGGTTCCTAACTTTTCTGCAGCCTTTCTGCTGTTACTTCTTGGCTCCTTCTTTCTGCTGTCTTTCGGCCACACCCCTGATCTTATGGAAGGTAAGACCTAAAACCAAGACTTCTAGGAAGAGGGCGAAACACCTTGGAGGTTCCTGGTGAAAGTTGCGCTCGTTAAAGATCCTTTGATGGTCTTAAAATCGATAAGAGTGGGCTTTGTTAGCCATCCGGGCAAAATTCAAAATTAATTCCTTCCAAACTGAAAATGTTCAAGCGTCCCGCGCGCTCATGACATTATGCAGTTGCGAACATCGTAAAACACACACACACACACACACACACACACACACACACACACACACACACACATACACACACACACACACAAAGGGATTGCAGGAAAGTGGCGTGTTCCAACGGTTATCAAAGCGCACGTGACAGTTCCACTGATGGCTATTCGTTTGTGAAAGCGTAATTAATTAAACAACAATAAAAATCTACAAAAAAAAAAAAGAAAAAAAGAAGAAAAAAAAAGAAAAACCCACCCTGGCTCGCGAGGCTAGCACATGATCTTCTATCAAACTGATAACACAAACTACGTGTCAAGTTAATCCGACGTAACCATGTATCCGCAGATTATAACAAAGTTTTTCTTTGTTTGTTTCAGCATTGTGCATTTCACACCTGTAAGTTCTTTTGACTTCCAAATTATGTGGTGTGCAAATTTGAAACGCAAAGCTTCAGAGCAGACGAAACATAATTTACCCCCAAAAATAGTAACGTTTTTGTTTTCTTTGTGATCACCCAGTATAACTGTTGAACATTGATACTCTCTATAGTACGTAGAAAAGAACAGCGAACTTAAATCTTTGAGAGATTCTTTTCGATAGATAATTATTTTATTATGATAAGTGAAAAATCATGTTTTACCCACTTAAGGGTTCAGCCATATATACACGGTTAAAGCCCGTCAACGACTACGTGAATATGATCTGCACAAAAGGAAAGAGAGAGAGAGAGAGAGAGAGAGAGAGAGAGAGAGAGAGAGAGAGAGAGAGAGAGAGAGAGAGAGAGAGAGAGGGAAGGAGGGAGGGAGAGAGGGAGTGAGAGAGATAAAGATAGAGATAGACAGACAGATCGATTGATAGATAGATATAGATACATAGATAGATAGATAGATAGATAGATAGATAAATAGATAGATAGAGATATAGATAAATGAATAGATAGATAGATAGATAGATAGATAGATAGATAGATAGATAGATAGATAGATAGATAGATAGATATATAGATAGATAGATAGATAGATAGATAGATAGAGAGAGACAGAGAGAGAGAGTGAGAGAGAGAGAGAGAGAGAGAGAGAGAGAGAGAGAGAGAGAGAGAGAGAGAGAATTAGAGAGATAGAAAGAAAGAGAGGGAAGCGAGTGGGTTGGGGGGGGGGTACAAGAGAAACTTGTTGGAAGATGACAGTTTTATTTTAGAAAGCGTTTTACGGTACATGTAACACAATAAGGTCAGAATATATGTGTTGAGGTGTTTCAAGAGAATAACAAATACAAGAAGAAGGGGGTGAGACCAGAACGATGTAAGTTTGAAAGAAAGAATGAGCAAACCACACTAGAGCACCCGCCAAACACCCACAGAAGATGCTACAGCACAGATATCATGTGACAATACTGCTAAAAGTGAAACGTGAGAGATATCATTATCATGTGGGCAATACTCATCAGCGCTGACAGCTTAAATACGAGTGATTGCCCTTGATTAGGGTCACAGTACTAGTTGGAAGCCAAGCAATTGATACGTAAGTTACCACCAGGTCTTTTAGTTTTGTTTGTTTGCTTAGTTGCTTTTTTCGGTGTTTGCTTACTTGCTTGTTTGTTTGTTTGCTTGCTTGTTTGTTTGTTCGCTTGTTTGTTTGTGTGTTTGTATGTTTGTTTTAGGGTTTGTTGTTTATTCGTTCCTTGTATTCTTTTTGAGGAAGGGGGAGGGGCAGAAAGGTGTTTCAAAAGACTGTAAAGAAGAAACCACAGTAATTAATCTAATAAATGCTTATTTCTCCTATTTCCATTCGAGCACTATTGCCTTTTGCCGATGTATTGGCCATCGTCTGAACCATTATAATATTTGTAATAGATCTGTTATTATTATTATTATTATTATTATTATTATTATTATTATTATTATTATTATTATTATTATTATCATTATTATTATTATTTCTTCTTCTTCTTCTTCTTCTTCTTCTTCTTCTTCTTCTTCTTCTTCTTCTTCTTCTTCTTCTTCTTCTTCTTCTTCTTCTTCTTCTTCTTCTTCTTCTTCTTCTTCTTCTTCTTCTTCATCGTCATCATCATCATCATCATCTTC